AGAGCGTCAGGCCTCAAACAGAGTAGACTGACATTCAAAGTGGTGATTTTTCACCTTGATTAAAGATTGTGGATTTACCAAGAGAAAAGCTTGTCCATTTAGTCTGTGCATGTTTTACTCATGGATTATTTTAAGGAAATACTTAATCTCGATCATTATCAAGCCGTCAAAACATATTGATTTGTGAAGTTGTGGGCCTTCTCTTGCCTCTCCTCTGTGGGGGAGAGAAGGGGAAACAGAGGGAAATGCTACCTGGCACATCTTTTCAGAAAAACTGCTAACATAAAAGAAAACAAACAATGCTTCACAACATCTTTAGATTAATCAGCGTTACTATGCTTTGCATCCAAGTGTAGTAATTCAAAAAACAGTTAGCTAAAGCTAAAAGGGAACTTAAGCACACTGAAGAACTATCTCAGGTGATTAATTCATCAAATACCCCAAACACTTTGGATTTACAACTGTGCTATTACATCAATAAACGGTCATCTGTGAATTGATGCATATCCATTTGGTCACCTTCTTAAGGATGCTGGTAAAAGTTTTCAGTTTGCAACTATCTGCATCTTGTGGCACCAAAGAATAAACTGGGTCTCAGACTTTCAGAGGGTCCAAGTACAAACACTTCTCACCCTGCTAAATAGCATCAGAAGCAGGTTGGAGGGTTTTCTGAAGTCTGTTTTCAATCTTTGCAATCCAGTGACCCCTAATATTTACATATTTAGTGAATTAGGATACCAGAATTAAGTTTGAATTGATCCAAGACACTCAAAATTCTGCTTTAACCGTAGAGCTCAACCTGTACAGCAATCGTTTCAACTAGAAATTGAGAAGAGCTCATTCACAGTATAGGCCAAATAAATCAGTTTTTATTTTGAATTAACTAACTGACATTCGCTTCCATTTAAATGTTGACACATCTTCACTCATTTCTTAAAGTCACACAACAGAAAAGCTGTAGAAAGTCTACAGACACTTTCTCATCTTTCTAAAGATGCTGTGATGGGACAGAGAGTACCCAGGTTTTCAGCCGGTGAGACAAACACTAGTACATTCAGATGTCCTGTGGTAAAGATTACAGAAGCAACAGTCCAGATTGTGAAAAATGAAATAATAATCATAATAATGATAATGATAATAATAATAACAGCAACAATAATAATCAGTATTTTCTCTCAGTTCTTAAAATAGGGCTAAACCTATATGCCAACCATATATAGTTAACTTTTATGATAGAAAAAACACCTTAAGTTCTTCCAGACCCATTTACCAGAATACCACACTAAACTGCTTTTAAAAAAAAAGGTACTGAATTACACGCAGTTAAAATTCAACACATGGTTTATTCCCTATTACTTTTGAAAAACCACCACAGGACTTGAGGTGCTTTAGGCAAATTCTATATTGTTGACTAAACTAACATTAAAAAACTAGCTAGAAAAAACATGAAATAAGATTATATTAACTTGCATCTGAAAAGGTGCTAGAAAACAGAAAGATGACTGCTGAAGCTACGATACCTATAGCGAAGTCTTAATTTTCTCAATTGCTAAAAAAATTCTTTCTAAAATGGTCAAAATTACCAATTAGTTTTTCTTCTAGAAAGGCACTTCAGCTTTTGCTCAGGTTTGGGTGCAGTAAATCTTTTTTGAAACTAAAAAGAAACGAGGAGGGAAAAAAAAAAAAAGAGATACCTATGCAAGATGTGTGTCAATCTAACCAAGGTCTTCACTACCATCAACCATGATTTCTGCAAACTTCAGCTGTCCTGAAAAATTAATAAGCAGTATTCAGTCATTTCATGGTAGCATGGTAGAAAGGCCTTTGTATTCTTCTACCAAAAATTATATCCAGCAAAGCCATCTCTGTGCAACACTTTTGCTTAGGTTTTTTTACCTAGCAGTAATTCTTGATGCTCAAAGATAAAGAAATTTTCATCTACGATGGCACAGGTAAATTTGCAGTCTGCAGGAACCACAGGTTAAATAACAAATTTAAAGCCACTAACGCATGACTGGCTTCTTTCTAATAACTTAATATTGGCTCAACAAATAACTCTGAGAATACAGTACTTTACTGTTTCAATATCACTATGATTCTGCATTACCAACATAAATATACACATATATATATTTATGCAGATATAAAGAGAGAGAGAGAGAGCATGCAGCTGTGTATGCCTGCAATGACAACACAGTATTGAACCACAGGAAAAAAACCCCATGTTGTCAAGAACTGTCCTACAATGCTATGATTGAGGTCAAGTCACATGTAAGATGGCAACTGCCATTGCAAACTGCAGATATTAAAGGAAGGTGAAAAATGGGAGGCACTATATATATTAGACATACTAGACAATACTATCACTCTTCTTTATGGATAAATTCTAGTGGCTGGATTAAGTTCCTTAAGGACAGACTCATGCATTCCTTCTCACTGCTCACACAAAATGCCAAAATAAGGCCTTGAAAGTGTCTGCTTCTTGGGAATCACTAAAGCTTGCAACGTAGATATCCAATGATATCTATTAGAAAGCACATACCATCTTTCCACCTAATATCTATTACCTGAAGATATCTCTTACATAAGAGTTAGAAAGGAGCAACTATGTGATCAGTTAAAGTATGCCAGAGAAATGAGGCAAAAGACACATGTAAGGCATGTAACTTGGTTGAACTACATCACTACGTGGATACAAGCTGGAACATAGGAAGTTCCACAAAAACATTAGAAAAAACCTTTTTCACTGTGAGGGTGACAGAGCACTGGCACAGGCTGCCCAGGGAGGTTGTGGAGTCTCCTTCTTTTGCGACGTTCAAAGCCTTCCTGGACACGTTCCTGTGTGACCTACTCTGGGTGATCCTGCTCTGGCAGGGGGGGTTGGACTACATGATCTTTTGAGGTCTCTTCCAACCCCTAACTTTCTGTGATTCTGTGAAGTTCATATTATGTGGGACTACAGTAAAAGGAAGTCTGATCTGCTTGTAGCAAACCTGCAATGAGAGCGTTAAGTATCAGAGAGGCAAGCTCAACATGTTACATTTCCAGCTACAGATAAGCTCTGAAAAACTGGACTAACATCTCAACAACTAAGACAAGTTGAGTTATTTTAGTATGACTCAGTGGGAGACTTCATCAGTTTAGGATGGTTAATATCAGCTTGCAAATACATTCTTGTAAGGAGCATGCTTGCAAGGAGTATGATTTTCTGTTTTTTCAGCTGTAACATTGACTTGAAGTAACCGAATACCCTTGAAAGCACCTTCATTTGAAAAATAACTTAAAATATTCTTGGAAACCGTAATTTCAGGAAGACAAACACTGTACATAACATAGGCATGAACAGAAAGTAACTTATCCTAAAGGCAGAAAAAAAATCTAAATTCAAGAAAATTTAGAAGGAATGAGATTCTACACCATCTATTTTAAATAATGAATTGCAGTTCATCCTGTTGCAAAACACAGAAAGACATCTCCCACGCTAAATCTACATACACTGGACAGAAATAATGGGAGAATTAGAGATCATCACACATAGAAAACCTGATTAGATCATACATCCTGCTGTCACAGTAGGACCGCAAAGGAAAAGTTGGAAGTGAAGATGAAAATCAAAATATTCTGAAAAATGAACTCTGTATTTGCCTAAATACCTTCTGGCTTCAAGTACTTTCAGAGAGTTGTACCTTAAGAAAAGGATGGAAATACCCTTCTGGTCAAGCTTTTTACTCTCAGCAGACTCCCAGCTGTGTATCCAATAGAGGAGTTAAAGATCAAAATAAAAGCTGATACAAACGTAATTTAATTTAATGCCTGCTTTTCAAGGGTCTTAATCAAAATTTAAATGACAAGAACTTAAAAACTTCTTGAAATAATAAAAAAAAATAATCAAAAGTCTTGACAGATCAAATTTTGGACCACTGCAATACTGTAATTTCTACAGTCATGTTTCGAACTTCCCATTTTCCTAAACAAACCACAAGTAATGCAAGCAGATACTATTTTAAAATGCTCCAAAGTATATTAAAAAAGCGCCAAAACAAAACAAAAAAGCCACCAGATTTTCTGCAGGTTACAGATCAAATTTTGCGTTTACAAAAGCAAAGAAAGTCAAATATTCATTGACCTACTTGGTAAGTACAAATTTTGCGTTACTTATTCCAAATTTAAGTCTCTAATTGACAAGTAAGAACAAATGCAGTTGAATATGCATTGTAATATAAACCAGAGGTAGAAGGAAATGGGTAGAAATCTCTAACCAATGCTCTAATCCGAGAGCTACTAAGATACTTTGCTACACAAAAATCTTAAAATATTCAGTTACACACCAGTACAAGTACTACTTGCATGCGTTTAGAATAGGATGTATTTGCTTTAGATTTCCCATCACTTCAAAGCTGTACTACTGTGGAGTTCAGCAACATCTGATAAAAAAAATAAAACCTAAAAATCCTGATTCAAAACCAAGTATCTTTTTTTAAACAGAAATAACAAATAATAACTGAACCTACTACTAAAAGAAGCATCTCAATGGATTTTCTATCACTAGTTTTTTGGGCAACAAACAGAAGTTAGAAATCTGCATGCAGTCAAGGTGTTACAACCTGGTAGCAATGACAGAGGCATAGTGGGGCAACTCGCATGACTGGAATGTGGGCCTTGATGGCTCTGTCCTTTTTAGGAAAGACAAGCCAACAGGGCAAGGTGGTGAAGTTGCTCTTTACGTGAGAGAGCAACTGGAATGTATTGAGATCTGTCCAGGGGTGGATGAGGAGCAAGTTGAGAGTTTGTGGGTGAGGATGAAGGGGCAGACTAGCATAGGTGATACTGTGGTGGGTGTCTGTTACCGGCCACTTGATCAGGAGGAGAAAGTTCATGAGGCCTTTTACAGGCAGTTGCCAGTAGCCTCTCAATCACAGGCCCTGGTTCTCATGGGGGATTTCGACTACCCGGATATTTGCCGGAAGGCCCCCACAGCCAGTCATCCTCAGTCCAGGAGGTTCCTCCAGCGCATCGGTGATAACTTCTTGATGCAAATGGTGAATGAGCTGACCAGGAGAGGAGCGTTGCTGGACCTTGTGCTCACCAACAAGGAAGGTCTGCTTGAAGCAGTGAAGGTTGAGGGCAACCTCGGCTGCCGTGACAACGAGATGGTAGAGTTCAGGATCTTGTGCGAAAGGAACAGAATACCAAGCAGGATTGCTTCTCTGGACTCCAGCAGGGCCAACTTTGGCCTTTTCAAGCAATTGCTAGGGGAAACCCCATGGGACAGGGTACTAGAAGGTAAAGGGGCCCAAGAGAGTTGGTCAGTATTCAAAGACCACTTCTTCCATGCTCAGGATCAGTGCATCCCAGCAGGTAGGAAATCAAGAGAGAGCCATGAGATCCGCATGGTTAACCAAAGAAACTCAAGTGGAAGAAGAGAGTCTATAGCTCATGGAAGGAGGGGCTGGCCACTTGGGTGGAGTATAAGACTGTTGTTAGAGGACGTAAGGAGGCAATTAGAAAAGCTAAGGCCTCCTTGGAATTAAACCTCGCGAGGGAGGTCAAAGATAACAGAAAGTGCTTCTTCAATTACATTCCTGACAAAACTAACACTAGAGGCAATGTAGGCCCTCTGGTGAATGAGGTGGGTGCCCTGGAGACAGAGGATACAAAGAAGGCAGAGTTGCTAAATGCCTTCTTTGCCTCTGTCTACACTGTTGGAGACTGTCATCAGGAGCCTCAGTCCCCTGAGGCCCCACAGGAAGTCAAGATAAAGGAGGAATTTGCCCTGGTTGAGGAGGACTGGGTTAGGGATCAGTTGGAACACTTGAACACCCATAAATCTGTGTGCCCTGATGGGATGCACCTGCGGGTGCTGAGGGAGCTGGCGGAAGTCATTGCTAGGCCACTCTCCATCATCTTTGGTAAGTCATGGGGAACAGGAGAGGTGCCTGAAGACTGGAGGAAAGTGAATGTCACTCCAGTCTATAAGAAGGGCAGGAAGGAGGACCCAGGTAATTACACACCAGTCAGCCTCACCTCCATCCCTGGAAAGGTGATGGAACATCTTATCCTCGGTGCTGTCTCTAGGCATACCAAAGAAAAGAGGGTCATTAGGAGCAGTCAATGTGGCTTTACCAAGAGGAAGTCATGCCTGACCAACTTGATAGCCTTTTATGAAAATGTAACCGGGTGGATGGATGGTGGCCATGCAGTGGATGTGGTCTATATGGATTTCAGCAAAGCATTTGACACCGTCTCCCACAGCATCCTCATAGGTGAACTGAGGAAGTGTGGTCTGGATGATGAAGCAGTGAGGTGGGTCGCTCATGGGTTGAAGGGAAGAAGTCAGAGAGTTGTAGTCAATGGGGCAGAGTCTAATTGGAGGCCTGTGTCTAGTGGGGTCCCTCAGGGGTCGGTGCTGGG